CCGAAGCAGAATCTGCTGCGGCTGCTGCTGCGGCCGAAAATGAGAGCAGCGGCACGGCCGCAGCCGAGGAGCAGGGACAGGCCACGTCTGCAGCCGCTGCACAGGAACAGGGTGGGGAGTCTGCAGCGAGCGTGGCAGACGACTCCTCCAAGCAGGACGGCTCAGCAGAGTGAGTGAAGTGACAAAGTGTGTGGCTTTGCTGCACTTTGGTCTTTCTTCCAGGGCCTGGTTTGTATTCAGTTGTAGGTGGCCAGGTGTCTTTGACAGTTGTTTCTTCAGTGAATCATGAGCATCAATCAATGGCAGCAGAGAAGAATAAGAGAGGAGGAAGTATTACACCTAATTTTAGAAAAATTAACACCCTGCCCTTGCCAACCCTCTCCCAAAGCTCTGAAACCCTACAGAGAACATGAGTGGCATCAACGTTTCATAAATTTTCAATAGCTGTGAGAGTTTCCCAGGGTAACATTATGTGCTTACCCTGGCTTTTTCCTCTTCCATGTGTGCAATTGGCTCTCATTAGAAGAAAATGCAATGCTAAATAGATCTTTATGTATGCCACCAGAAATGAGATCCTTTGTTTTTTAATAATGGAGAATTGATTATGTGGAGATTTATAGCTTATGATAATTTATCATTCAAAGGAAAAAATGAACTGTGGGGGATTGTAGCCAGCAGCAATGTCATTAAGGGCAAAAGGCGTATTTTTAGGCATCCCCTTTATATATTTATGTAATATATCTATATTCCTGCTAAAATTCAGCATTAGATTTTTTAAATCATTTCTAGGTAACTTGAGCAAGTAGCCAATTGCATAAGTGATGGTACTTTTCTGAAATAGTTTGCTGCTTTTTGATCAGTTGTGCAGGGTGTCCACAAGGAAAAGTCTTGTACAGATGGTGGTGTTCACCATGTGTAGCATTCTTACTTTTCTTTGAATTGCTAGTTGAAAACCTCATTATATCTGATCATGGTGGTTTATGACTCTTCAGTGGCTCTAAACTGAAATTTTACTCTTTAAAATGCTTTGAGGAAAAACGTCTTTACTGTGAGGGTGCCAGAGCATGGCCCAGGCTGCCCAGAGAGGTTGTGGAGTCTCCTTGTCTGGAGACACCCAAAGCCCTGGCCGTGTTCCTGTGTGACTGCTCTGGTGCTCCTGCTCTGGCAGGGGTTGCACTGGGGGAGCTTTCCAGGTCCCTTCCAACTCCTCACATTCTGTGATTCTGCTTATTCTGTTTTATATAGTGCTGCTAAGAAAGAGGATGATGATGCCCAGCCGGCTAAGAAAACCTATACGTGGAATACAAAGGAAGAAGCAAAGCAAGCATTTAAAGAACTGTTAAAAGAAAAGGTATTTCAGTCAACTGTTCCTAAGGCTTTATTGAACTACAAAAATTGCATTTGTCAGTAATTGCCAGACTCTCTTGTGAAGAATTTCTCACTGTTGTAGAAGAGAACTTTTGTACTAGACAAGAAATGAGGGAAAGGAAGGCCACAGTGGAAACAATACACAGTTTAAATTTTGTCCTTCAGCTCTTTGGGCGAGTGAGGAGGTGCTGAGATTTCATCAGGGCTCTCAGTTCAGTTTTTTCATGCTTGCTTCCTGTTACATGATCCCCATGCTGTAATGCAAACTTGTAATCTGGTCTTTGTCCAAAATTCAAACTGGAATGGTGAGTAATTTGATGGACAGCTTCACGAGATGCTTCACAGAGACACAGTGTAGGGGTCCATATGGAAAAAGGACAAACTGTTAGATTTAATATGCAGTGTTTCCATAAGCCAGTCTGATTTAAAGACACTTTTTCCCCCCCCTCTGAAGTAGTAATCCTAAATCTGTATTTGTGTTGTGGAAATTATGGTTGCCAGTGTTTCTGTCTGACAGTGAGGTGTGTTTCTAATAAAAGTGCTGCCTGATTGTCTGAGCCCTCAAATTTTGTATCTTTGTTTCAAAGTTGGAGATGAAATGGGAGTAAAACGAGACTGGCTTTGGTTTTCCCTCAGTAGATGGGGTCTGTTTGAGTTTTGTCTGGTGAGTGTTGACTCACTAGCTGTATAGCAGGCAGACTTCCAGCAGAATTTATTGTATGTATTGCCACTTATTGTAAATGGCAGTCGTCTCAAAAGTACTTTTGCTTCATTTTCCATGTTGACTGTTAAAAATTAAACAAAAAATAATGACAAAGAATGGCTTAACCTCAGAAGTATGTTTAAAGTATACGTTTTAAGGTATCTGTCACTGTTGGGTGTTGGTGCTGTATGTAACCCGTTAATAATTTCATGTCTTCACAGCGAGTGCCATCTAATGCTTCCTGGGAGCAAGCAATGAAAATGATCATTAATGATCCTAGATACAGGTATTGCTTGCTTCTTTGTGCGTTACATTTCTGTACAAATACTATTTTATGTAGTTTGACTTTGCTGATGCACCTTTTGATTGCTTTAATAGGTATTTGTGCATTTCCCAACGTGTGCCATTGTCAGGGAACTTTGCTCCTTTACTACATAGAGAAATGGAAGTCCAAGGCTTAATTTTTCATTTTGCCAAGACATGGCAGTTGTTGGTTTTATTTTGTACTTTTCTTGGGAATAAAAGCACACATATACAATGACAGGCCTTTCCAGATTCCTTTTTTAAATAAAACGTTGGCAGAAAAGCGGTTGACATCCATGATAAGATCAGTATTGTAATGGGAAATGAGTAAATGTAACCTGAAAACATGATAATAGCTTGTAGTTTATTATTAGCTGCTTTTATTAATGAGTGCTTGCTGTTACTGCTTTTTTTGAAACCATCTACCATAATTCTGAGGGAGAGACACGGTGATGACTGGACACTTAGATTATACATTTTGTCTCAAAAATCTGGATTATTCAAATCTCTTTGGTTTTGTTTTTCCAATTGAATTTCCCTTTTCTATAATTGACGTTGTTTTCTTTTTCTTTGACAATGAAGTGCTTTGGCAAAACTAAGTGAGAAAAAGCAAGCCTTTAATGCTTACAAAGTCCAGACAGAAAAAGAGGAGAAAGAAGAAGCAAGATCCAAGTACAAAGAAGCTAAAGAGTCCTTCCAGCGCTTTCTTGAAAACCATGAAAAGATGACATCCACAACGAGATACAAGTAAGATCTGAAGTGAAGTTCCTGTCTACACTCGCTTGCCAAATTAAAAATTAAATCTTACTGCCATGCTGTTGGCAAATTCTGACCTTTGTGTGCACTCAGCCTGGAAAGCCTAGAACTAAAACTGTTACAGGAACACAGATATCCTCATTTTCTTAGACCTCAGCAAAAAAAACAACTCCACTTCTGTGGAGGGGACTGCATAGTGGCATCAGCTTTAATTTTTAACCATTTGCTTTGTTTGTAAGAGATAGAAAGGTGTCACAGAAAAGGTTTTCTAAGAGAGGAAGTTAGGGAGATGTCACACAAAAGCATTACTACTTAAAACAGAGTTCATTAATGTTACTGTGAGCCATGGGACAATTTCAGTCAGTGTTCACCAGTAGATGATTGTGTTTTTCCTTGTTCTGTGCAGAAAAGCTGAACAAATGTTTGGGGAGATGGAAGTCTGGAATGCGATATCTGAGCGTGATCGTCTGGAAATCTATGAAGATGTCTTGTTTTTCCTGTCCAAGAAAGAGAAGGTAACTTTCTCCAAACTTACCTTTTCACTGTTGTGTGAAAATTAGTTTGTACCTCTTAGTAAAGAAATCTTGCAAGCAGTGCAAGTTGTATTGCTTTACAACTAAAGGCTAAACCAAAGGTTAAATTGTGTGTTTCCTTGGAGAACATGCTTGAGGGTTCATGTCTTGTTGTCTGTAAGACCTCAGATGTTTTAAAAAATGTGTTTGCTCTGCAGGAACAAGCCAAACAGCTACGAAAGAGGAACTGGGAAGCTTTAAAGAACATACTGGATAACATGGCTAACGTCACCTACTGCACTACTTGGTCGGAGGCTCAGCAGTATCTGATGGACAATCCCACGTTTGCAGAAGACGAGGAGCTTCAGAGTATGTCAAAAGTTGCTTTTGGAGGAGGGAATGGATCTGTCTTTAGCAGTGCAAATACTTACACTGCCTTCTGCTGGACTGAGCTCCTGCTGTTTGTTTTCCTAGAAAAAGGTGATAGAGGTGAGGGTACCACAGCATGGCCCAGGCTGCCCAGAGAGGTTGTGGAGTCTCCTTGTGTGGAGACACCCAAAGCCCTGGCCGTGTTCCTGTGTGACTGCTCTGGTGCTCCTGCTCTGGCAGGGGTTGCACTGGGGGAGCTTTCCAGGTCCCTTCCAACTCCTCATACTCTAATTCTGTGAAAAAGTAATTGGTGTTTGCCCTTTAGAGTAAAAGGTAGTTTTTCCATTATGGGCACTTATTTCTTATAAATGAGTCAGTCCTGTGTTTTAAGAGCAGCATATGCATTTACACAGCTGCTAAAGCACTGGACAGAGGTGCTTTGTGTTATTCTGTGTTTTTGAGATACCTGTGGTAATGCAGGGAGGTGCACAAGCATTCATCCACCGTGCTTTTTGCATGAGGGCTCCTGTCCTGCACACTGGCAATGATGATTTATCCAGGTTGAGGGAGGTTGGGTTTTACTGCTGTGCAGGTCTGCATCTGTTTTGGTGCTCAGCGAAGCTTCACTCACAGTAAAAACTCTGGAACTTCCTACAGTCAGTGGGAAGAAATACCTGATTTTGACTCTTACCACTGTTATCTGTTGCCAGACATGGATAAGGAGGATGCGCTGATCTGTTTTGAGGAACACATCAGGGCGTTGGAAAAAGAGGAGGAAGAAGAAAAACAGAAGAGTTTGCTTAGAGAAAGAAGGCGGCAGCGTAAAAACAGAGAATCTTTCCAGGTTGGTGGACTTCGTCTTAGACATGTCGTGTCATTAGATACCTTATGTGGGGTTTTTATTACTCAGGGTAGGCTACCAGGTACTTATAATGCACCAGTTTAACAGCGTTTTGCCTGCAGTATAATACATCTGCGTGCCAGAAAGCTGCAAGAGTAGGGGAGAGTAAGAGGAAATAGATATATATTAATAATAGAGGAAATAGAGTGGGAAGGAAATGCAATTGGAACACTGTAAATGGTGGAGGAAGGCAGGAAGAAATGATGATGGAAAAGATATTTCAATAAAACTTTAACAAAAATGGAAATGCAGTAATGAAGAATATCCATCCCAGCTGTCAGCCACGTACAACCATGATGAATGACTTGAGATTTCCATTTTGCTTCTATTTTGTAGCTGTTTCTAGATGAACTTCACGAGCATGGGCAGTTACATTCGATGTCCTCTTGGATGGAGCTGTACCCAACCATAAGCTCTGACATCAGGTTCACTAACATGCTTGGTCAGCCTGGTAAGAATACTGTAAGAAAGTAAGGTAAAGGTCTTGGATGTGGGGCAGAATAGAGCAGGGATATTTGTATATTTTCTAAATGTTAAAAAAATGCAGCTCTTTTATTAGAGCTAGCTTTTGACTTATCTAGTTTTTTCATCAGGATCAACAGCACTTGATCTTTTCAAGTTCTATGTTGAAGACTTGAAAGCGCGATACCACGATGAGAAGAAGATCATAAAAGATATCTTAAAGGTGAGAGGGGAAAACCCTGATGCCAAGTATATCAGGGTATTTGCTACTGGGAGGTGGGATTTCACATTGGTTTAATGTAACGTGCACTAGCGCTGAAGTGAGAGTTCCTGATGCCAAATTTTCTTGCAGGATAAAGGATTTCTGGTAGAAGTGAACACTTCTTTTGAAGACTTTGTTACGGTCATCAGCTCAACTAAAAGAGCAACTACTTTAGATGCAGGGAATATCAAGCTGGCTTTCAACAGTGTAAGTATTAATATATAGGAATGGTCAAAAAGCTTTAATATTAAATCTCCTGTAAAAACAAGAATTGGCATTGATTTTCACTGCACTGCTGTGACTATTCTCATATTTGAGAAAGATGCTGTGCTTGTAGAGTTGCTTATCCTGATAACAGTTCCCAAAGTAACGATTGCAGAGATATATCAGATGACACTGAGTTGGGAGGGAGTGTTGGTCTGCCTGAGGGTAGGAAGGCTCTGAGAGGGACCTGGACAGGATGAACCCATGGGCTGAGGCCAATGGGATGAGCTTCAACAAGGCCAAGGGCCGGGTCCTGCACTTGGGTCGCAATAACCCCATGGACGCTACAGGGGACGAGTGGCTGGAAAGGACCTGGGGTGTTGGTGGCAGCAATGCCCATGAGGCAGCAATGTGCCCTTGAGCCAAGAAGGCCAACGCCATCCTGGGCTGGATGAGAAGGGGTGGTTGTATAGTTTAAAAATAATAGAATTTTCCTGTATGCCCAGTGACTAGTAGAAAACTGTAAAGGTGAACCATCATTTGGCTTCCCAAAAGTGGCATTAAATTGAATTATTAATCTTCCATTTTGCTGTTTTCCAATGATCTTATGTTTTCTGTTTGGCACAGCTGCTGGAAAAGGCAGAAGCCCGTGAACGGGAGCGGGAAAAGGAGGAAGCTCGCAAGATGAAGCGGAAAGAGTCGGCCTTCAAGAGCATGCTGAAGCAGGCCACCCCTCCCATCGAGCTGGACGCCGTCTGGGAAGATGTGCGTATCCACACTTACACGTGATGTGAATACCTTCACTCTGCTGATACTTGTGTTTGAGTACCAGTTAAACCAAAAAAAACCCCAAAACTCAGCCAACAAACCAAAAATTAATAACAAATCCATACAACAACCCCCAAAACTCAATTGAAATCACAGAATCCCAGAACGTTGGGGATTGGAAGGGACCTCCAAAGCTCATCCAGTCCAATCCCCCTGCCGGAGCAGGAACACCCAGATGAGGTTACACAGGAAGGCGTCCAGGCAGGTTTTGAATGTCTGCAGAGAAGGAGACTCCACAACCTCTCTGGGCAGCCTGGGCCAGGGCTCTGTCACCCTCACTGAGAAGAAGTTTCTTCTCCAATTTCAGTGGAACCTCCTGTGTTCCAGTTTGTGTCCGTTACCCCTTGTCCTATCATTGTTTGTCACCGAGAAGAGCCTGGCTCCATCCTCGTGACACTCACCCTTGAAATATTTATAAACATGAATGAGGTCTCCCCTCAGTCTCCTCTTCTGCAAACTAAAGAGCCCCAGCTCCCTCAGCCGCTCCTCATAACGGAGGTAAAGCACTCTGCTTAGTTAAGTCTTAAACTTTTTCTGGTAAGAGAACTTCTCAAACCCTTCCCTCTCAAAGTATATTTTCTATAAAAACATGTGATTTAAGTTTTGCATTACTTAAATAGCATATGCAGGAAATAACCAGTCCATTCCTGCATGCCTCCAGCTGCCGGAGCCTTCCTGGAAACCATGCTGGCTGAAGATGGCATCAAAAATAAATAGCCTGGTGACACTACCATGGCTTCTTCAACTGATTAAATCATGTCTTTAGTAGTAGTAGTAGTAGTATCATCATCATCATCATCATCATCATTATTATTATAATTATCATTATTATTTCTGAATGGCTGTATTTCATATCAGTGTTTCATTGCTATGTTTCTTACAGATCAGAGAGAGATTTGTGAAGGAGCCAGCGTTTGAAGACATCACTCTGGAGTCCGAAAGGAAAAGAATATTTAAAGACTTCATGCATGTACTAGAGGTAATTATTTTCTTTTCCCCTGATTTAGAAAAGATACCAAAAAATTCTTAGCTGCTTGGCTGTTAAATTGTGTCAGATTGAGAGAGGTTTAACAGAATTCTGCTGGTTTCTGTTGATTCTGCAGGATGTGCTCTTTGGGGTTTGGTTTTTGTGGTTTCTGGAGTTTGTAAGAGACAGTAAAATGGCTTAAGTTCAGAATTTCAAATGAAGTACACAGAGTATTCTGGGCCATCCTAAGCAGGGGCTTTGATTTGGAAGCATTGAAACCATATTTGGGTAATGGGAGCTGTGTGCATCCACACCTGAAGTCGTTTGCTTCCTCGCTGCTAAATGTTACAGCTTCACCTTGCAGCTGTTGATGGTTTTGACCAAATGAGTGCTCAGTTAATGTTTTTAATGCCTGCTATCACAGATGCCCTGTGGCTGATGATCGCTGCAGTTCCTTGCTGTGCCTTGCAGACCGATTATAACCTTTGCCTTCCTTGTACTCTAGCACGAGTGCCAGCATCACCATTCAAAGAACAAGAAACACTCGAAAAAGTCTAAAAAACACCACAGGAAGCGGTCGCGGTCCCGTTCGGTAAGGTTTAGGTGTTCATCCTGCCTCAAAGTGGGCTTTCCTAACTGTTTGTGGTGCTGTCGTCTTGCTGACCGCATCATTTTGTACCCAAAGGGCTCCGAGTCTGAGGACGACGACAGCCACTCAAAGAAGAAGAGGCAGCGTTCAGAGTCCAGATCGGTCTCCGAGCGCTCTTCCAGTGCAGAATCCGGTAAGAGAGCGTTTTGGGTTTGGGTTGTAATCAGTATTGCTGTTTTATCGCTGGGTCTTCATAGTTTTATTGATGTGTTTGCCTGCAGAGAGGAGTTACAAGAAGTCAAAAAAGCACAAGAAGAAGAGCAAGAAGAGAAGACACAAGTCTGTAAGTGCCGCTCACTGGAGTTGGCTCATGGGCATCTCGGCACCTCAGGGCTTCAGGAGCCCTTTTTGGGTGTCCGTGGTCACCCAGCTGCTGCTGTGACAGGGACCATGTGAGGTCAGGCTGGAGCAGGGGTTGTCATACGCACCTTGGTATCAGACCATTGCAGACTGCTGACGTTGGGGGTTTTAACACGTGAGCAGCTGCAAAGGGCTGTGCTCACAGCCTGGTGTTTGCTGTTTGTCATGGCGAGTTTTGGGGCTCCTTTTGGCGGGGGAGCAATCCCAGCCCTCTTTTCTTTTGCCTTATACTGAGCATCGCTCCCTTTCTCTGCTCCTGCGTCAGGGTTACGTTAGAAACTCTGATATTTGAATGTGCTGGAGCAGCAAAAGGACCTAAAGAGCAGAAAGAGGCTTTCATTCTGTATCATTTGAGGCCAAATAACATATTTTGTCTTGGATAAAGAAAGAATTTGGGGTCTCTGAGCTTGTGCTGGCTTCAAAACTCTCCCAAAAAGCTGTACTCTTGAGTTTCTCTGATTTCTGAGCAGTTCCTTCAGCGGACACAAGGAGGGGATGTCGGTTGGTGGCCATTGGTGCTCAAGGGCTGCACCACGAACAGGGTCACATCAGCTCAGCAACAGAACGTGGAGCAAAATCCCAGTGGGAGGCAGCAGCCTCTCAGAACAGTTGATACCCAGTAAAGCCCAGCAGCTGCTGGCTGCACTGGATGTGCTGCTTTAGTCACTTTAAGCAGTTTTTCTGATACGGTCTGAGTTGAAACGAAGCCGGGCTCTTCTGAGGTGTGGTTATTCTGTAAGCTAACGTTTAATATTAACATTTTAATATTTCTCTGTTTGCCCAGGATTCACCAGAATCGGACATCGAACGAGAAAAAGACAAAAAAGAAAGAGACAGCGAAAAGGATAGAGCAAGGCAGAGGTCGGAATCAAAGCATAAATCTCCTACTAAGAAACGGCCTGGAAAAGATTCGGTGAGCTTGCGTCTTTCCTTTTGCTCCAGTGCTTTGGGCTTCACAACCGCAGAGTGGTTTTGGTTGGAAAAGACCTGTGAGGTCGAGTCCAGTTGAGGTACCGGTGGGATGATGCAGCACAGCACACGGCTTTGTAGGTGTGCTGCAAGTGGGGGTTTGGGAAGGGCTCAGAACGGTGATTTCAGAGGCACATATCAGTGTTTGAATGCAGAATGTCAACCTCTGGCTCAGCGTCTTTGGGGTCTCAGGGGGGGAAGGACCCGCGCAGGCCATGCAAGGAAGGGGAAACCCTTCTGACCCCGCACCTCTCTCACAGGGGAACTGGGACACGTCAGGCAGCGAGCTGAGCGAGGGGGAGCTGGAGAAGCAGCGGAGGACGCTGTTGGAGCAACTGGACGAAGATCAATGAGAGCGTTATTTATACCAAATATGTTTACATTGCGGCATAATAAAAGAATCCAATGTCTAATGCAGGACGTGGGTGCTGATGTCCTCGGTTCCATGGTTGAGTAACAGCGGGGTTTGATTTTTACCCCAGAAATCCATTCAAGTACTAGAATTACAGCATCAAACCTAGAAAAGCGAGTGCAGTTTGGGGCAGGACGGGCGCTCGGCTCCACGGAGCGGGGTCTGGGGCAGCGTTGGCACCTTTCTAGCCAAGCATCTCCTAGAAAGGCCGTGACGCTGCAGTGCCCGGCTGCTGTAGGCAGATACAACTTCATTTTTTAGACAGATTATTAATATAGCTTCCTGTGCTTTCATTTGTTTCATGGATCTGTTTTTATTTGGGAGAGGGGAAGGCGAGGGGCGTAACGAAGCCATTTCTTGATCTGTTCTGCAAAAAAAAAGACCGGCTTTTGGAGTTGCTCTTTTGTGAACCGTGTCGCTGGCCAAACCCCTTTGAGGTTTTGTACAAAGATTTGGCTTTTCCTGGCCACTTTTTATGGTGAGTTTTCGAAGCCCTGCAGATGCGGTGGCTGGGCAGGGGACGGGCCCTGGGCTGTGGTGTCGGCAGGGGGGTGCTCTGGTCACGGCCACCTCCCCTTCCCAAAAACAACCCGACCCAGAACAGCCCCGGGTGCTGTTGCAGCTTGTACCTTCCCCTGAAGACAAATGTAAAACCAACGATGAAACTGTACGTGAATTTCGCTGTGTTGCCTTAGGGACCTGCGAAGAACGGCCCAGCGCCCCCTGCTAGGGGGGGGACGAAGCTGAGCCCCCTCCTGCCCGGGAGGCTCTGCCGTGGTGCACGACGGGAAGCCTCCCCGGGAGTATTTTTGTACATTTTTATCAATTATTAAACCTTGTCTTCTAGTGCCTGCTAGTATTTCTTTCTGCTTTTAAATACTTTGTACGGCTGATTAATTATTCCTCTCTTCCTTTTTTTAGCTTAAACCCAGCAATCTGAAGGCTTTCGAGAGCTCAGCTTCATTTTTAACTCAATCTGCAGTGTATTTTCTTCTCAGGATGGTTACAGGACTCGGATTCCCTGCGAATACTTTGGGATGCTGAAATCAGGCACTTAAAACACGAGCTGCAGGGACCTCTGCTGTGCAGGCAGCAGGAGCTGGGCTGGCGCGGGGAGCAGGCTGCAGCAGTGGGCTTTTCCCGCAGTGAGTATAGCATTGCCCGGTGTTCTGGGGGAAAAATGCCCAAATTTGGTCAAACTTGGTCTCTTGAGGAGATCCTTTGTACCCAGGGGTGAGCTTAACGTCAGAATTTGGGAAGGCACAGACAGGGGCATTTTTCAGGATCCCCCCCCTGCAGCGAGTGGCTCCCAAGGCCAGGCAGGAGCTGGTGCTCCTATAGAGTTCCTAAGTCAATACTGCATTTAAAAGGTTTGAATTTATTTTCCCATTAGAAATAAAACCAAACCTGTAACTGTAACTTACTGTAAAGGAGCTTTGTGGTTGGTTTTGTGGGGTTTTTCTTGCCCCAATGTCTTAATTAGAGCTTGCAGAAGAAATGCACCTTAAAAGCAGCTGCTTTCAAGACCATCCAAGCAAGGAGTGATTTGGTTTTTTAAGGGAAATGAAGAGTGATGGGGATGGACAAAATCAAACACCGAAGGGTTTAAAAAAAACCACCAAAACTCAACCCAAACCCCAAAGCATCCCCCAGGCTTTGCCCCCGCTGCAGCCTCCAGAGTTCCCCATTAAAGTGCCCCCCAAAAAAACACCCCACTGTGGCTTCCTGTGTAGTAGTGTAAATAGTTTATTTGCTCTTATGTCAGGAACAGACCAGGAAAGTAACATGAGCTGCTCGGATAAAACACTTCTAATATTGCTAAGAAAGCAGGTCTAGTACTAGAGAAGTATTAAAGAGAACATGCCAGCGGTGAACTGGTTTGTGTCTTCAGTCACTGAACTGAAAGTGTTACTTTAATGTCTGAGCTGGTGCTTTTGCCCACGTCCCTAAGGGTTTATTAAATTAATTTTCCAACTCTCTTAAGCCAATTAAAGCTCTCTTCTGTGGGGCAGGGGGTGGCATGTTCTCTTTAGCAGCGCTGGAGACGCAGGTAAACGTCCTGTGAATAGGCAAGCAGAGGTCAATGTGGTCCGTCGAGTTAAATATAAAACCAAAACTATAAGTTAAAATAACATTCAGATTGTATAGCACAGGCTGATGCATTTATTTATTTTTTTTTAAACAATATTTACAATATTAACCCGGAGGCTGAAGTGGGGAATAAAAGAGAAGTGTAAAAACCATAAAAAACTGCACCAATCTTGTAGCAAAATATCTGTACATTTAAAAACAGATTATCGTATAACTACACGTTATCCGAGGAGAACAAAAAGGGACCTTCACCAGTGGTTCACGTCAGCACAACGGAAAGGAAAACAAAAGGGCTGCAGTGGTTAAATACTATACAAGAAATTTTACAATGAACGTTCGGCTGCGATGCGCCCAGGGCGGGGATGCGGGGGGGTCCAGGGGGTCCAGGTCCTCGCTCCCGAGATGCTCCCGTGCCCTGGGGGCTGTGATGGTGCCAAGTCAGGGCTCTGTCCCTTTTTTTTTGAAGCTTAAAAACTGCGATTTTGAGACCCAGGACCTCCCGGGGGTTTCAGATGGGGCTGCCCAAGGGATCCTGAGCTGGGAACATCCAGGGAAGGTGGCGTTGGAGCGGGGCAGGGATCCATGGGTGGGGGCACGGGACGCGTCTCTGCGTGAGGAGCTGAGCCCTGATGCTGCTCGTGAGCTGTTAATGGCTTAGTGCTAATTAATAAATAGGCCGTTACTCAGAAGCTGCCGGGGTGAAGGACATCGGCCGCGCCGTGGCCGCCCTCCTCATCCTGGGCCCTGGCGCTGCCGCTGTCCCCCTGTGCGTCCCAAAGGCCCAACCTCCAGGTGCAGCTGTGGCGGCTGCGCGGTGCGAGGGGGAACGGGGGCTCCTCCTGGGTTATTTGCATGGCAGAGAGAGAGAAAGCCCTTAAATGTCTCCTTTGTTTTACAACACAACCCCAGAACAAGGCAGTAAGTGCAGCTGGAGCCGAGGTCGGTCCCTCAGCACAGGAATGCGGTTGAAAGCAGAGCACGTCCCAGCATCACCAGTTTACCACCAGTTTACCACCAGTCACAACGCAGGGCCCACAGGAGACCAGTCGCTAAACCTTGGTATCATCAACCCCAACTAAACACCCCCAAAAACACCACCTAGTTTACATTTTGGTTAAAAACACTGAGTGACGGCGTAAGCGCACCCAATCCCATCGCTTCCCGTCGGCGGAGCAGGTACTGCTGGTTTAGGCACTTGGTTGAGAGGGGAGCCCATCGCTGCTGTTCCTGTGCGGCTTTGTTTTAGGTCTTTGAGCCCTTTGAGGTGACTTTCGCTGTTCCCGAGGCTGCGGATGAGCGCACACGGACAACCCCGGCCTCTCCCCACCCCCAGCCCCGCGGGTCTCACATGGAGATTTCGGCCCCGTTGGCGGAGCGCAAGGCCTGGTCGTCGAAGCGGCGCCGGACGCTCCTCCTCACCGCGTCGGCCCGGCGGTACGGCTGGTTTCGAAGATCTGCGGAGGGGACAGCGGCGCCGGTGAGCGCACGGCTCGCGCACGCGTGTGCACACACAGCACACGTGTACACACACACACACACAACACGTGTGCACACACAACACGTACACACCCCCGCACCCGCAACACGCGCGGCTAGACAAGGAAAAGTCCTGCTGGAAGCCAATCAAAGCAGCTTGTGGAGGAGAGGAGGAGGAGGCTTCAACCCAACAAGAGCAGAAGGGAGCGAATGCTGGTGTGGCCTTTGACTATGCACCCAAGCGGCAGGTCATACTGGTGAGAATGAGGTCATACTGGTGAGGATGGGGTCATACTGGTGAGAATG